TTTTCCTTTCCTCCCTTTTCTTTCCTTTCCCTTCCTTTCCTTTCCTTCCCCTTTTCCTTTCCTTTTCTTTCCTCTCCCCTCCTCCTTTCCTTTCTCCTTTCCTTTTTTTCCTTCCTTTCCTCCCTCCCCCTTTCCTTTCCTTTCCTTTCCTTTTTGCCTCTCCTTTCTTCTCCTTTCTCCTTTCCTTTTTCCCTTTCCTTTTTCCTTCCCTTCCCTTCCCTTCCCTTCCCATGCCTGCAGTTTGAGGCAGGATGGCGACCGTGTTTTCTGTATGAAGAGCAGCTCAAACCAGAGTCCTGTGTGAAGAAACGGGAGCGACTCCAGAAGAGAGAAACACCATTTCTCTTCTTGGTTCGGCGTTCTCTGTTTTCTTTGAAACCTCCAGTCCTCCTGTGGCCGGACTCCAAGTGCAATTTTGGCTCTCTCGGATGGAAAAATGGCCTGGCCATCAGAGCAAGGAAGACGAAATCCGGGGTGAAGAACAGTTGCAGGAATTGGGAATGAATAATGAAAAGAAGGACCAGGGGAGACAGGATAGCAGCCTTCCCATATTGGAGGGGCTGCCCCAAAGAAGATTTGGGGGTCAAGTTATTCTCCAAAGCACCTTTGAAGGCAGGAGAAGCAGCCACGGATGGAGACTAATCAAGGACAGAAGCAACCTGGAATTAAAAGTTCCTAACCACGAGGACCATTCACCAGTGGAACAACTTGCCACCAGAAGTCATTGGGTGCTCCAACACGGGAGGTTTTCAAGAAGAGATTGGACAACCAATCTCCATAGAGGGGTCCTGCTTGAGCAGGAGGTTGGAGTAGAAAACCCCCACAGTCTCTTCCAACTCTGCTAGACACCAGAATATAAACCGACAGCAAACAGCATTCCTTACTAGCACTGATGATGTTCCCTAGTTGGGTCATGAAACGTCTGCAAGAAAACCACCAAACTCAGAGAGTACCAAGGACCTCACAGTCCTCCTCCTCCTCTTCCTCCTCCTCCTCCCCCTCCCCCTCCTCCTCCTCTCACTCCTTTCTCGCTCTGATGATGTTCCCTAGTTGGGTCATGAAACGTCTGCAAGAAAACCACCAAACTCAGAGAGTACCAAGGACCTCACAGTCCTCCTCCTCCTCCTCCTCCTCCTCCTCCTCCTCCTCCTCTTCTCACTCCCTTTTAACTCTGATGATGTTCCCTAGTTGGGTCACGAAACGTCTGCAAGAAAAACAACCCAGCCCAGAGAGCAGCAAGGAGCCCTCCTTTCAGCCCCGAGCTACTAATATTCTCATTTTATCTGTTATGCTGTACTCTATATTCAGCCCAAATATGCACCTTGGAACAGGAGGGAGGGGAGGCTAAGCGTCAGCGAAGGTCCCCAGGAAAACCTACCTCCTCAGACGCCCCCACCCCGCAAACCCCAGCCCCTTTGCACCATCCAACACCGGGCAGAAGGGGAAAGTGTGTGCATGTGTGTGCGCGCGTGTGTGCGTGTGTGTGGGAGGGCTTCTCCCCCTTCCCCATGTCATCGCCTCCTCCTCGGCCCATGAATCTTCCCGCTGCCTCCCAGCTGCAAAGCGAGGTACTATTGATGGGGGGGGGGGGGG